TTGCTTCCAAGACCAGAAACTGTGATAAGTGGAAGTACTACGGCCTGCTCCTCAACCTGAGGCAAAAACCAACACAAAATGTCATGGTATACTATGATTATAATATCTGCATTTCTAATTTTTGAACACTAGTGCCAGTAATAATTTGAAAACTCATTTATGTAAGCTTACCTCGTTGGCATTATTTTAGTGAATTGAAACTACCAATCGTCAAGGGCTTTTTTCAATTTACTTTAAAAGTTAATGTCATTTCATTGGGGAGGGTATGTGCTATGGTGAGTGCTGTGAAGTGTGTTAACCTGGCGATTCACAGACCTGTACCCCTGGGGATAAAAATATATGTTTATAAAAAAAAAAAAAAGCTAATGTCATTTAATAAGAAAAAACAGGTGTTGGCGAGGATGTGGAGAAAGGGGAGCCTTTTTACGCTGTTGGTGGGAATGTAAACTGGCGCAGCCACTCTGGAAAACAGTATGGAGGTTCCTCAGAAAGTTAAACATAGAACTACCCCACACCCAACAACTGCACTACTAGGTTTTTACTCAAAGAATCCAAAAATACTAATTCAGAGGGATACATGCACCCTGATGTTTATAGTAGCATTATCTGCAATAGCCAAACTATGGAGACAACCCAAGTGTCCATCAACTGATGAATGGATAAAGATGTGGTGTGTATATTACACACACACACACACACACACACACACAATGAAATATTAATGCAGCTGTCAAAAAGAATGAAATCTTGCCATTTACAACAACTGGATGGAACTAGAGTGTCTTATGCTGAGTGAAATAAGTCAGTCCGAGAAAGACAAATACCATATGATTTTGCTCATATGTGGAATTTAAGAAACAAAAGAGCAAAGGGAGAAAAAAAAGAGGCAAACCAAGAACAGACTCTTAACTCTAGAGAAAAATCTGACAGTTACCAGAGAGGAGAGGGGATGGGGGTGGGGGATGGGTGAAACGGGTGATGGGGATTAAGGAGGCCAGGTGTTGTGATGAGCACTGGGTGAGGTAAGGAAGTGTCAAATCACTACATGGTACACCTGAAATTAATATAAACTAAAATTTGAATTAAAATGCTAAAAAATAACAAGTTAATATCGTTTAAAAAGAAGTCAAGAAATTAAAAATTATATCGGAATTTTTTCCCTAAACTATTTTTTAAGACTGTGAGTCACCAAATACTTCTACCTCATAGGAGGGGAATAAAAAATATCAATGATAAATGTAACACTACTCCTACTATAGTAGACATAAATATTACTCTGTAAACTAGACATAAATATTACTCCTTTAAGCTCTCTTGTACTTTAATTGAAATCAAAATTCCGCTAGGACTCCATTTGCCTGACTGTGGGGAAATAGAGTCTCAGTCCTTGTTGGGCTGTCCTCGCCTCCCCAACATCAAACGAGATCCCAAAAAGTTCACGGAAACAAGAGGAGGGGTTTCCAGTCTCGAGCCCAGCCCCGCTGAGCCTGTGCACGGTGTGGCACCTATGGTCTGTGCTCAAGTGAACCCCAGTGCCCAGGGCACCATGTCATTGTCCCTCTGGGGGCTCTGCCACTGGCCCTTCTGCTTATGGCCCTTCTCCTCAGACCTTTGGCCTCCTCCTCACTGGGAGAACTCTTCTCTTGCTTTGTTTCTTTCCTTACAGAATTCCTCTAAAGGGTTCTGGCTTGGAGAAAACAGCAGCCAGGGAGGCAGGCTGTGTGACAGCAACTTGAATTTCACAGCTTCTGTGGGGGAGTTGTACCAAGGGACTGGGCACCTGCTTGGAGTGGGAGCAGGGAAAAGACAGAGCTCAGAACACAAGTGAATACCCCGCAGTGCTGGTTTTATACTACTATTAATAAATGGCAAATGTTATTAAGTATTACTCTTTCCTCAGATGATAACATTTAATTATCAAAATTTTGCCATGTTTTGAAGACCAATGACCGAGTCTTAAGAGACAGAGTGGCTTTCCCAGTTTTAAGTAGCAGAGCGGGGATTAGAACCCAAGCCTGGTTGGCTCCAAAGTTCATCCCTTAGTTTACATTTTCTCTCCTGCAGAGTACTGGTAATATTTCATTTTGAGCACAGTGAGCTGCCAGGACAGGTTAGCTACAGTACGAGTTCCCGGGTAACTCCTGAGATTCGTCCATGGGACGCCATTGCTCAGAGCTCTCCATCTGGTTGTGAGAGTGCATTTGCCAAGACCGAAGAACAACAGTGCTGCTTTGGGCGTAATTAATGTTTAGACAATAACTGGTCACCATGTTCAGCTGCTTCTTGAGGTCACTCCTGGGATATGAAAATAGGACCCCGGATTGGCATAAACAGGATGTTTGTTGTCTTTGTGCTCTGCCAGGAGGCCATGATTTCGGTCATCTAGAAGTTAGACCAGATTGCTCAGGTGCAGGTTCAAAAGGGGAGAGGATATGGTCGGCCTAGTTTTGTGTCATTTAAAACAGAAAATAGATGGATCTGAAATCCATTTCTGCTGAGTATGAATCTTGAGGTAGTGTTTAATAAAGTCCTAACAGAACATTGAAAAAGCCTTGGGTCAATTTTTAAATTGTATATCTTTATCCATAAGTAAATAAATAAAAATTTAAATTGTATGTCTTGATCCCTAAATATCTTGATCCATAAATGTCTTCCTGGTGAGGGCCCTCTTCTGGATCCAGAAGTTGTTCCCTTCTTGCTGTTTTCTCACAGGGTGGGAGGCGCTAGGGAGCTCTTTTATAAGACACAACCCCATTCATAAGGGTTCCAACCTCAGGACCTAAGCACCTCCCAAAGGCTTACCTCTAAAATACCATTACCCTTGGGGGTTAAGATTTTAACAAATGAATTTGGGGGGGACACATTCAGACTGTAGCACCCACTGAATCAAAATCTTGGCAGTGAGACCCAGGCATCATCGAACTTTCTGAGCTGGCCACGCAGTTCATGGTGTTTGGGTAACATAAACAGGTACAATGTTTTCTTTATTGTGTTCTATCCTCTCTAGGTCTATACAATATCTCAGGAGGAATATATAGGAGATGTATAGGCATACACATGGGTATCTAGAGACATACTAATCTCTTAAGTAAATATATATATAGTAGAATTGTGCCTACAGATAAATATTATTTTAAATCATAGTAAATGTTAACGGAGCATCTGTATACTTCAGGCACTGTTCATTCATTCATTCATTCATTCATTCATTCATTCAATAAATGCTTGTTAAGAGCCTACTACAGGCCATCAGAAAAGGAAACAAAAGTCCCTGTCTTCAGGGAGCATGTATCTTAGTAGAAGGACATCAACAGTAGAATTCACTAAGACAGTTGCATGGTGAGGAGTGCCATGGCAAGAGGTAAAACTGGAAAGGGATGGCAGCCGGCAACAGTGGAGGGCCAAATGGCAGTTTTGGTACGATGGCTGGGAACCCTCGAGGGAAGGGAGGAAGTGGGCTCTGTGGCTGTTCAGAACAAGGCTGTTCCAGGTTTGGGGAACAGAAAGTGCCAAGTCCTGACCTGAGCAGAAGCCTTCTTGCTGGCTTCAGGAAATAGCACGGAGGCCAGGGGCTGGGATGAAAGGAGATGCCATCAGAGACGCAAGGGACGGGCTGAGGCATGGGTCTCGTGGGGGCCTGTGGGCCACTGGAATTGTTTCCCTTTTACCCTGAGGGAGACGGGAAAGATTCTGAGCCTCAGAACGACAGTCAGACAGGACTTAAGGGGGATCATTCTGGCCAATAGGAAGAGACTGCTGGGGGTGGGCAGGGCTGGAACAAGAGCCAAGTTAGGAGACAAGGGCAGTAATCCAGGCGGGGAGAAGTTGGGCGGGCTGGTGAACAGAGGAGTGGGGACCCCCGCGTGGCTGGCAGGTGCACTCTGAAGGGAGTGCAGCGGGTCTGGTTCTGCCGATGGTTTGGAGGTGGATCGAGTGAGGGCTGCCCCGGGAGGTTTGCCACTGATGCTGGCTGTGGCCGTCGGCTGCACTTACTCTGTGGCTAGATTGGATTCTGGATGTGGGTCATCCTTCGGTTCCAAGAAAATAATTGTATTTTTGCTTTTAAAACATATATTGAATGCTTAAATTTTGTAAATTCGTCGTATGTACATAAAACGTCTTACAGAGCAGTCAGGGTGGTCTGGCTGCAGGGGGACCGTCTCCAGGTTATTGGTTAACCGGGACTGGAACCACAGTGACATTTCTCACTGACACGTAGGAAAGCTGCCTTTCCCAAGAACAAATATATTCAGAACAGAATAAAGAATAATATTTCCTGTTCTGTTTATTTCAAAGCGCTTTTATGTAAACCCTCAAAAAATCCTTTCTAAGGTTAAGAGTGGATGATACTAACCCCTCACTGGGAGATTCAGGAACCTGAGATCTAGAAAGGAAAGAAATGTTACAAGGATGAATTCTGCTAGATCAGATCTTCTGTTTTATGACTTCCTCCTCTTGATTGTGTGGTCTGATGTGTAGTGACTGGACCTCAATCCGGGGAACACAAGTGTGTGTGCCCAGGCACACATGCCTGCAAAGCAATCACACTTGGGTTATTAAGTACAATGATCTCACAAGGGATCTGGAACTGATTGTTCAAACCTTCTGAAACTCAGGCTTCCTGCTTCCTTTTTCTCTCTTTCCTCTCTCTCTGGTTATTTGGCCATTTTTTTTTCCAAATAGTATTTTTTATCAAATGGTGGAATAGGAAAATAAAAGATACAGAAGTCACATTAGGTAGTGTGGAGAATAATTTTAATAAAAGTTGCAACAGAGAATGAAGTCGAAATTAACATTAAAATGGAATTCTTAATTGCTGATGGATTTCAGCTTGCTTTGTTTTCCTGATTCTTGGTTCCTATAGAAAAACAAGTCTGATTATGTGTGTACCAAGGAAGGCTGAGCTCCTTTTGTTTTGCTGAATAAACCCTGAAGGCCCAGGATGGCAGCAAGCAGGGCCTGGGCCAGGTAGCAGCTTTTCATGCATGTGTCTCTTTCAGTCTGCAGTGATGACCTCACCCACAAATTCAAAGGCTTCACTGTGATGAACGAAGCAGAGAGATACGAAGCTCTCAGACACTGTCGCTATGTGGATGAAGTCATTAGAGATGCTCCATGGACACTCACTCCAGAATTTCTGGAAAAACACAAGGTACTTACTCTTCCATGTTCTCTAAGTAGCAGAACTAGAGTCTGGTTCTGCAACCTACATGCGGAAAGCCCAGAAGCTTCTACTCTCTAAAAGAGGTAACTTCAGGAACTGTCATGTGGTATCACTTGATACAGCACCTGTCTTCTGCCCGGGCCTGGGGACTCCTCTCGCTTCCTCACTGTGGGTGCTAGAGCTAGACCACCCACGTCCACGTGTGGCTTCTCTCCCTTCCTAACTGTGGGACCTTGAGCAAGATCTTGAACTCACTTTCTTAAACTGTAAACTGAACACTAGCTGGCCCATAGCCAGAGCTCCAAAACGTCATTGTCATTACCACCACTGTCATCATTATTGATGCTTGTACATTCGCAGGCATCTTTTGCAAGGAAAAAAGGAACACGCATTATATCCAGAAGGACACAGGTCAGCTTTTAAGGAAAGAACTTTATATCTATGATTTTGTGACCCTGAGACTCCTACTGATAAAAGATTTTTATTAGTTGAAAACACGAGAAATTCTTTTGATCTGCATGAAATTATGTGCTTTGTGTCTCCCTACCAGCCCCACATTAGGAGCTATTCTTTCCTTTTATAAGCCGTACAAAAAAAAAAAAAAAAAACCCACAAGATGAAGCTGTTCTAAGAGTTTTCTTTTCTATTTTTAAATTCCCGATGCAGAAGAGGAGAGAGAACACTGATAAATGTGCATGGGTAATAGCAGAGGAGATAATTTCCCAGCAAGAATAAAAAGCAAAAGGAGAAACTACAATATGATTTGCTTCCAGCAATCACTAACACATTTTTACTGAGCATCTATTGTATGTTCGGCTTGTGCCAGGCACGATGGGCATACAGATGATGGTAGTGGCAGCCACCGTTTCTGATTCACCGTGTGCCAGGCACTGTGCTGAGGGCTTTGCTCCTACGTGAATCACATTAAATCTCATGGCTACTGTGAGACTTTATCATCATCATTGTTTATATCAGAGAGGAAGAGGAATTAAGTTTGAGTCCTGAGAATGGATTGAATAATAAACAGTGACTGAGTGCTTACTGTGCACTGGTTATCGCTTTTAGCACCTTTCCATCAGGACATCGTTTAATCTAGTGATTCTCAACTGGGCTTGAGTTTGTCCTCAAGGGACATTTGGCAGTGTCTGGGAACATTTTTGATTGTCGCAGCCACTGGGTGCAGCTAGGGGTGCTACTGGCATCTAACGGGTAAAAGCCAGGGCACTCCCCACCCCCCCCCCCAAGAATGATCCACCTCAAAATGTCACAGGTGTCCAGGTTCAGAAATGCTGATTTAATCCTTATGGCCAATGTATGATTTCTCTAGCTAGTAAGCGGTGGGGCAGGTGGATGGGACTGCTGCTGTAAACTACCACGAGCCAAGCCTCGTTACAAAGGGCTTCAAAAGCCAGGCAGCAAGTTTTGATTTGATGGGGTAGGAAACAGGGAACTAGGGGAGATTAGGAGGAAGGAGGAGGACACGAAGAAACCCGGTTAAGGACCTGCCTCCCACGTGACAGAGAGGTGACTTGGAAAGGAGACAGCAGTGAGGAAGGGTAGGCACAAGCTGGAAGCAGTAGTCCAGGTGACAGGGCCCTGGATTTCATGTATCAGCCACGGAGAGGACCTGCTGGGTGTGTGTGCGTGCGGGGACGTTCACATGTACGCATGTGTGTGTGCACATGTGCACACACACGCATACACCACAGAGGCCCTGGGGACTTTTGTGCCTGGAGACTGAAGGAAGTAGGGAAAGAAGCCCAGTTCTAAGGTGTTTGGGGCCTAGGCACATTGGGAAACTGGAGGTGCTGTGAGGAGGGGACACCTGTTTTCAGGCTGAGTTAAATTTCAAATAGGTCGATTTTAAAGTGACTCCAAGGGGTGGCAAAATAGAAAAGGGTGATTTGGGGCAAATATAACAGGTTTTCTAGGTTCGGCAGCCTTCTGTCCCAATGGAAACAGTAGTATAGGTCCCACCCGCCTAACAAGGTGGTTAGGGAGATCAAATAAAAAAGGTGTGAATTCATTTTTACCATATAAAACACGGATTAAGTGTGAGAGCCTGTTGCCATCAGTGGGACAGGAAATGGAGGTTTGGGTTCCTTGTCATAGCAAGGGTGATTAAAATCTGAAGCATGAATAAATTCTCTGAGGAGGAAGTTTAAAGACAGAAGGGCAGAAGCCCTAGAAAGCCTCCTGTCAGAGGAAAGAGAGGGACCAGAGAAGGAGACCAACCAATCTAAAGTTCCCTTTATCTCCTGGAAATGGAGACAGTTGGCAGACAGTACCTTTCAGTCAAGGAATCAAAGGCACATTGTAAACTGCTTGTTTCAACTGCTTTATTATGACTGCTTTATTTCAAAAGGCATTTGCACGCTGGGAGGCCTGGGTGGCTTAGTCAGTTGAGCGTCTGCCTCCTGTTCAGGTCATAATCCCAGGGTCCTAAGATTGAGTCCCACAGCGGGCTCCTAGCTCATTGGGGAGCCTGCTTCTTCCTCTACCTGCGCGCTCTCTCTGTGACAAATAAATAAAATCTTTTTTAAAAAGTTTAAAAAAAAAGGCATTTGCACATCCATCCCAGTGATGACATCACTTCTCTCTCTCCAACAGATTGACTTTGTGGCCCATGATGATATACCCTACTCTTCTGCTGGTTCTGATGATGTTTACAAGCATATAAAGGAAGCAGGTGAGTTCCCCTGTGCTCACCTGTCCACCGCATTATAATTGTCAGGTATAATATGACACCCCTGCCCTAGTCTTGTAGCATATACATGGAAGGCACTGGAATTTCAGACGTCTGCCAAGTAGCCTTTATAAGCTTCTGTTGACATGCGCTAAGACCCAGTCATAGGACAGACATCATTTAGGTATTTATAGAAGAATTAACTCGAGCACCAAAGTACTCTTTGCTGAACCATGAGTATACCAACTTCTAGTGTGTGGCTCAATTTTAGGGCTCATCAGACAAAAATCATAGGACCTTATTATTTAAAGGGCAATCATTTCCCTCATTTGTATTTAGAATTCAGAATGAAATTATTTTATATTTCCAAGAAAGTTCCTTCCAGAAGACAGATAACTGGGTCATTAACAATCTGGACTCCTTGTCTCCAAAGTCAGTCCTCTCACCTGTCATTCTGTCACATGATAGTAATGTCCTCAGGTACCACACGCAGAAGCAAAAAAAGAATGGGTAAATGTTTGGGAAATTAGGTAAAATACTTCCTTCACCAAACTGTTAAGTGCTGTCGTGGAGGGCAGGCGTGGTGCCTGAGCTTTGGAAACTGTTCCAGCTGTCACCAAAGATTTCTTTGAAGGTCAAAGACCAGTCTATCCCAGGGAGTTATTGGGGGGCTGGAGAGAGGCAGGTTTCCTTTCATTGGAGACTCCCTGGGGTTCATTGCTTTGCCAAGTTCTCTGTCCCTATTCCTTTGCCACTGAGGACTTGAGGGAAATCACTGTTGGGCATTGTAACAGATCCGTGGTTTCCAGCCTCAGTGGGATTCTTGATGTTCCTTGATAACATTTACTTTCCTGACCTGATGTACCTGTAACCGCTTGCACCCTTGCCTCCACTCCTGCATCCTGTGGAAAAGGGGTAGGTTTTCTGTCCCAGGCTGACTTCTCTACCTGAATCCACTCCTCCCTTCCTTGAAGGCTGTCTGCTTTAGGCCTCCCCTCTCTGGTGTGCAGGGTTCTCACTCTCCAGCAGTTTCTTCTCAGTTTACTATTGTTTGAGAGTCTATAAAAACAAAATAACAAAATCCCTCTTCTGCCCTCCCTCTCCCTTCTCCAGTCCCATCCTTGTTGCGTCATCCCTCGCCGGCACCTCTCAGGTGTACCCCTTGTCATTCCTCAGCTACCTGTGCTGTGACTTCTGTCCCATCCTCCCTCAGTTTCCTGATGACCTTCAGACCACCCAGTCTAGTGGCTTCTTTGCTGTCCTCCTCTGGATGTCACAACCCTGCTGACCACTCTCCTCTCCAAAATGCTCTCTTATCCTCTACTTCTGGGACCTTCTCTCTCCCTTTAGTCTCTCTCACCACTCCTAGGTTTTGTGATTGGATCTTTGTCCCTTGGCCCTGCCCAGCCTCTCCATCTTGCTAGCCTGGGCTCTGCACCACCTTGCTCAGGTCCTAAACTCCAGGCCAGTGGAGTCCATCCTAGTGCCCGGAAGCACCCCCACTTAGCGCCTTGGCTCCGGCTCTTCTGTGGGCCCGGCATGCCCTTCCTCTGGGCTTCCACGCCTATTCTGTGCCCAGCTGAGGAGCCAGCCCTTGACATGCCTCTTTCCTGGGGGTGTAATTCTGTAGCACTACCCTCCCCCATCCCTGCTGAGATACTCTTTGCAAATGGATCTTTTTCTCAGCTCCCTTCTGATGGCATCCTGATAGTGCGTGAGCAGGCGTGCGTGCGTGCGTGCGTGCGTGCGTGCATGTGTGTGTCTAGCTAGAATGAAATGGTGTGGTCTCGCCATGTCTCCTCCGTCTTGCCATCGCCAGCAGAGCCCCTGGTACATGGGTGGTGCTCATTCAGTGCTGGCTAAGCAAGAGGGTGCTTTTAATGCAATCTGATGGGGACTCGGCTTAGGATGGAGGCCTTCTGTCTGCAGGGACTCTGCCCACTCTGCAGGGAGTAGAGCTGTTTACCCAGATAATTTGGACGTGCACACTGTCTTACAGAGTTTTTCAAATTACTTAGATGATGGGGCAGTCTAGGGATAATTATATCAACCTTTGCATCTAATCTGTTTGCTTTGCATTGGTATCATGGCCCCTGAGTCCTTCACCTCTTTATTAAAGGGAGAGGCTGACCACCTGCTCTAAATTGCTCCAAACCACCGTAGCCTTTAGACCTGGAGGGCTGCTGAGGAACATGGCAGGGGTAGGAGGGGAGAAGGAGGGGAGAAACTGGCTGAGGAATCAGTTACGTGGAGATGGCTTATGGCATGGAGCAATGGTTACCTTTCTAAGTCTCTGTAAGATCTGGGCTGTGAGCCGGCTGGTCCTTCCTTAAAATCACCATGAAGGACCTGGTATAGACCAGTGCTTGCCGAATGTGAATGTGACTATAGATCCCTACAGGATCTCGCTTTTCTTCTCCTTCCCTCCCCTCCCCACCCCTCCTCTCCCCTCTGCCCCATACACTTAACATGCAGTGTTATATTAGTTGCAGGTATACAGTATAGTAGTCAGCAATTCTGTACTTTACTCAGTGCTCAGCACTCTTCATTCCCTTTGCCTATTTCCCCCATCCCTCCCCACCTCCCCTCTGGTAAGTGACTGTTCTCTATAGTTAAGTCTGCTTCTTGGTTTGTCTCTTTTTTCTTTGTTCATGTGTTTGGTTTCCTAAATTTCCACATATGAATGAAATCATATGGCATTTGTCTTTCTCTGGCTTATTTCACCCGGCATAATACCCTCTAGGTCCATCCGTGTTGTTGCAAATGGCAAGAGCTCATTCATTTGTATAGCTGAGTAATATTCCATGGTACATATGTGCCACATCTTTATCCATTCGTCTGTCAGCAGACCCTTGGGCTGCTTCTCTGTCTCGGCTGCTGTAAATCATGCTGCAGTAAACATAGGGGTGCATGTATCTTTCTGAACTACAGTTTTTGTATTCTTTGGGTAAACCCCCAGTAGTACTATTACCAGACCCTATGGTAATTCTATATTTCTAAGTTTTTGAGGAACCTCCATAGTCTTTTCTACCTTGGCTCTACCAGTGTGCATTCCTACTAACAGTATACGAGGGCTCCTTTTTCACCACATCCTCACCAGCACGTGCTGTTTCTTCTGTCTTCGATTGTAGCTATTCTGACAGGGTGAGCTGATACCTCAGTGTAGTTTGGGTTTGCATTTCCCTGATGACGAGTGATGTTAAACATCTTTTCATGTGTCTGTTGGTCATCTGTATGTCGTCTTCACGTCTTCTGCCCATTTGTAATTGGATTTTTTGGTGTTGAGTTGTATAAGTTCTTTATGTATTTTGGATACTAACCCCTTATGGGCTCTGTCATGTGCACATATCTGCTCCCATTCGGTAGGTTGTCTGTCTTTTTCTTTTGTTGGTTGTTTCCTTCATTGTGCAGAAGCTTTTTATTTTGATTTAGTCCCAATAGTTTATTTTTGCTTTTGTTTCCCTCGTCTTGGGAGACATACTGCAGGATCTCTTTAAATGCAGATTTGGGTTCATTAGGTCTGGTGGGACTTCAGATCCCCATTTGTAAGGAGCTGCTGGGTTGGTAGGTCCTGCAAGTCCATAGACCTCACTCAGAGTACCAAGAATCTAGACCAGGTACAGGTCACCTGAGGTGAATGGAATCCACGTTTCCTGGGGGGACAGTTTCTCAGCTGCCTTGTAGAGTAAAAACATGCACTCAGTGGTGGTTTTATTGCTAGGTGAGTAGTCTCTAGTGAGCTAAGAAAAAGTTGCTTTCCCAATTTTAGGATATAGGAACAGGTTCAACATTCTCCTCACTCAAAAGCGATCCGGCACCCTATTGTTGCATAACAAATTACTCCCACAGTCGGTGGCATAAAAGAGCCACTTCCTTTTGCTTGTGCTTTTGTAAGGCTTGGTGAGGTGGTTCTTGATTGGGGTCTCTCCCATGGCTATACTCAGCTATTGCCTGGGACTGTGGTCATCCGAAGCCCCAGGTGGCCTGGGGGTCCCAGACGGTGCCCTTGTCTGGCTGGCAGTGGGTGCTGGTGGTCCACAGGGAGCTCAGCCGTGGCGGATGCCGCAGCGCCTGCCCGTGGCCCCTCAGCGTGGTGCGTGGGCTTCGGAAAGCGCGGGGCTGCCTGCGAGGGTGTGTGTCCTAGCGGGGAGGCATTCGGAGAGTCAGCAATCCTGACAGAAGCCTCAGGGCCTCTTGGGCCCCAGCCATGGACGTGTGCCAGTGTCACTACTACCACCTTCTTTTTGTTGGGGGCAGGTAATCCCGGGGGACGGGGATGACACCCATCCTCTATCCACCCCGCTTCCTGTCTTCAGATCGAACAGTCAGAGACCGCCTGTGACCCTTCCTCCCACAGGCCCCTGGGTCTGCTCTGCTGCTGGCTCGCCGGGGGAGAGCCATGGCAGAGAAGGTCATGGCATTCATCGTGAGAGGAAGATGCTCAGAAATGGCCTCAGCGTGCACACCGGGCTCTTGCCCTCTAATTCAGATATACTTTGAAAGTCACCAGTCACTTTAAATGAAGCCAGAGCTATCGAGGGTACGGATTAAATTTTGCAGCGCTCTGCTTTGCTCGTCAGAGCTAAACGTCAAAACCCTCTGGCAAAGCTGGATGGAAGGATGGTGCGCAGATGCGATGGACTGTCAGGTCTGCGGGCCTTGTCCTCCTGCTGCTGTGGCCCTACTACCTTCGAAAGGTTCCTTCATTATCGTGTGCGCTTGGCTGCTGCTTAAAATAGCTCCATAGCCAAACACTGCAATTCGGAAAAGCATGATAGAAAAGGTTCTCTGATCATGCTCATTACGGAATATTTTTAGCAGAGCACTAATTAGGATTTGGAGGAAGCCGGGTGCCTCATTATGTCAGCAGAGGGCTTGGCTTCTTTCACAGACCTCCCTCCCCACCAAAACAAGCCTGTCCCCGCCCCCAACTTCCTGTTACTCAGCCAGGGAGCCCTTATTCTGTGGCTCACAGAAAGGGGGAGCTCATGTCCCTGGGGCCTAAGTGACTTGCTGAAATCTGCTAGTGGTCGGAGGATCTTCCAAATGGTTCACCAGGTGGCAAGGGGTGGGAAAAGGATCTGCCTGCTGAAAGATGGGACGTGGTGCTCACTGGAATGGTCCCTGCTGCTCCCACCAAGGTGAGGATGTTGTCTCAGTCCCCCAGCTTGGGACTGCTCAGCTTGGGACCCCCAGCCCCTAGGGCCCCCTGCACAGCTGAGTCGGTTGGGGACTGTTCAGCTACAGATGTTGGGATGGTCACACCCTCTGCCTTCCCTTTGGTTTTCTGTGTTTGAGTCTGTATTCTCAAAAAGTGGGAGGCGAAGTTTTTGACCTAGCTGTAAGCCCCAAGTCCGTGCTCTGAGCCCCAGAGTATTAGAAAGCGGGTGCTTTGTCTCCCATAGCAGGAGTAGCTGCCTGCTGCGGCTACCACGCATGTGCAGCTGACACCGGCCGCGAATTCCGTGGGCCGCGCTAGCAGGGGCCAGAAGGCTGACAAGAGAAACAGAACTGGCTTTGGAAAGGCCCTTAGAGATCAGTAGTCCTCTAGTCAGTCGGGCAGCATATTTTCTCCCGGTGCCTGCTTGCGGCCCAGTGCTGAGAATCTCGAGGAGGGTAAGACAGGAGCAGTCCCTTCCCTCATGTAGCTTATTGTCAAATGGGGAAGGCAGTTGCTGAAGAAGTTGTTCTATAAAGACCTTGGAATATTTGAAGGAAAAGAGCCGTGGAGCATGAGAGGCAATAAAAGCCAGAAGAGCCAGCCCAGGGTTTGAGAGATTTATTCGAGGAAGTGACGCTGAAGGTGAAGCCCAGTGGATGACTGGGAGTTGGCCAGGTAGAGAGGATGTTGGTGGCAGAGTGAGGGGAGGGGCCCGCCCTGTCAGGACGCTCAAGTCCAGGGTCGGGGGCTCAGACAGGCTTAGCTTGCTGCCCACCTCTGGAGAATCCAAGGACAATGGGGCCGCTTACGGTGGTGGATCCCAGGGGCCTTGGCTTAGGCAGTGAGCTTGGGGAGTGGGTCTTCGATGAGACTTATGAGAGCGTGCAGGGAAGGGGTCAAGCAAGCCGCTGCAGAGCCAAGGTACAGATTTGGGTCTGAATACTGAGGAGCATAGAAAGCCAGTGAAAGATGTTGGGCAGCCCTCTGATTTCTATTTTGAAAGACTGCTCTGTGGCTCTTGCTATGTATAGACAGGGTTGAGGGAACAAAAATCAGTATCACTGGAGACTGGTTTTAAGGCTCTTGATATAATCCTTGAGCCAGATGGTGTTAGATGGCTTTAGACAGAGGATGGAGAAAAGTGGGTGAATCAGAGAGCCTCTTAGGGAGTAGACTGGTGAGTAGAAGGAGAGTGATTGGACATGGGGAATGAGGGAGAGGGAGGTGGCACAGATGAGCCCAAAGTCATCTTGTCTGGTCACCTCATTTCTCAGTTTTGGACACAGGTTAAGAAACTTGACTTCTGAGGCATGAGTCTTGCCCAAGTCTCCTGAGAACCCAGAGCCTTTGTCCCTAGGCCCAATCCATCATGTCGTCCCATCCCTGATGTCTCTGAGTGGCCATAATCATACTGGGTAGAAATACCTCAACTGCCAACATGTCATTTTCAGTTGACAACAGAAGTGTAAGCAACAGCCACATTCTTGCCTCGATAACACTAGCAACCTCTTTATAGACCTGTATCGGTGCACCCAAATTTAGACTTGAGGACGGTAAGGAGGGTCTATTAGAACTTGGCATCCTTTGAGCTTATTTTTACTCAGTCCCAAGTGTTCTAGACGACAGGGTCCTGAGTGGTGAAACCACCATCCAGAGTAGACTATTGTGAGGGAGATAAAATCATCCAGCATCCTAAGGACATGTCTTCAGATCAGAGATGACAAAATAGTGCCTTGGGTCTTTTCCTCAGCCGAATGTGTTGCAGACTTCCTTTGGGAAGCAGGGGACTTGCCTGTCACGCTTGTGACGCTCTAGTCACTTATTTAATTTGCATTTATCGAGCACCTTCCATGTGCCAGAAAAGGGCACTGAGCAGGGGGCGGCCATCGAGGCATGATCTCTACTTTGAAAATGTTCCCTTTTGACAAGGAGACAGGTATTTAAAGTGTCTTTGTTAATGGAAGACATGTTTGTATCCTGGAGGTTGTGGCTTCTGCTTGGTGCTATCAGGAAAGACTTGGCAGAGAAGACACCTCGAGGCTGGGTCCTGCCGGAGGAGGAGGAAGGCTGCAGCTGGTATAGGCAGGGAGGGGGGACCTGGGGCAGAGAAGCAGGACATGGCACGAATGAATGCCAGGAGCGCCCAGGGCTCAGGGCCAGGGTGCCGGGCCGGCCGGAAGTGCACGGAGTTGAGCCTGGACCAGCCAGCTGGCGCCACGTGCAAAAGCCTCACTCACGCACTGAAACGAGTTGGAAACGAGTGTTTATGGAAAATGGGGCAACAGAGACCATCTCACTCTTGTTCTCCTCTTTATTCTTTGAACAGGAATGTTTGTTCCAACTCAGAGAACGGAAGGCATCTCAACGTCAGACATCATCACCAGAATCGTCCGCGACTACGATGTTTATGCCAGACGCAACCTGCAGCGAGGGTACACAGCCAAGGAGCTCAATGTCAGCTTCATAAATGTAAGCGTGCCGCCCCCCGCCCCCATGTCCTCTGACGGACACCACACACACCAGCACTGCCGCCATTTGCTGAGTGCTTGTTGTATCCCTCACAGCGTTTCTGTTTTAAATTCCAGCACCACAGTGTTCCTGATCTTGTATATTTATTGTCCCAATTCGGTCCGCATAAAGGTGCAGTGATGTATTCTCCCCATTTTTAACATTTTAAAAAAGATTTTATTTATTTGACAGAGAGAGATCACAAGTAGGCAGAGAGGCAGGCAGAGAGAGAGGGGGAAGCAGGCTCCCTGCTGAGCAGGGAGCCTGATGCGGGGCTCGATCCCAGGACTCTGGGATCATGACCTGAGCTGAAGGCAGAGGCTTAACCCACTGAGCCACCCAGGCGCCCCTGTATTCTCCCCATTTTACAGATGGAGAAAACAGTGTCCAAAGGGCTAACTTAAGTCAATCAAAGCCCACAGTAGTGAGCTCCACGTTTTATAAAGGGGCTGTCTCCCTTCTCCTCCTCCAACCTTCCGCTTTGAGAGTTCTCATACTTAACTGAAGGGGGTCTGGGAGATCTGCCCTCGTGAAAGGCAAGCATTGTCTTCTGCTCAAAGGGAAGGAAGGCAGGCAGAGGAATGAAAAGCTAAACTCAGAGAAAATGAGTTTTAAATTTTCTTTTTATTAAGGCCTTACAGATGCTCATTAGAAACCTTAACAGCCATTTTTTTTATTGTCCAGAGAAATTACAGCTGCTTAAATAAAACCTAAAGTCCTTGGCTTCCTTTTGTATTTGTGCTGTATTGTTCCCACAGAGCTGCTGTTAGTTTAATAATAGAGCAACTGTTAAAACAATCTTTAAAACAAGCAAAACAGGCTGTTACAAAGCTAAGAGGGCAGTCCAGTTGCTAGAGGTGATGTTAGTGCGTCTGTATTTGCCTGGACTCTGAAGAGGGACAAAGTTGATTAAAACAGAAACCCTCATCCATACGGAATTTCAACAGCCCCCCCCCCAGGTTTTTTTTAAGAGTGATTTTTCTGCCAAACTATCCGGCAGCTTACACACCTCGATCGTTGGTGCCTTCTAGGTGGGGAGCGGTTTGTTAACTGTCCACCAGTGGTTATTCTTTGTCCTCAAGAGGCAGGGAGCTTGGGAGTCTAGGCTCTGTGGCTTCACACAAGCTGGGCAACAAAACAGAAAATGTTGGGTTCAAGGGGCACCAGAACAAGTGGCTGAAAAGAATCCCATCAAAGTGATTATTTGGTATCTTATAGAAAATAAAGCCCTAGTTATTTCAATAAATTAAACGGTCTGTTCTTTCAAATTGAATCCAGTCAGCCATTCAAGCATGTGAAACCGTTTCCAAAAGTTATTGCTGGTTCTCTTCTAACGGCCCTTAGCTAAGCCACTTAGCTCAAGGAACCATGTAGTGAGCGTGGACGGCTCTCGGCCTTTCTGCGACGAGGCTGGCTGCAGCTCAGAGAGAGAATCGAATGTCAGATGGGCGCGTCGCTGAAGCACAGAACCTCAGAGGAGGCAGGAACCTGCCAGCGGCCGTCGCCTAGTCCAGGTCCCTCAACTTAGACATGAGTAACGCTGTGCTCGGAGGGGACCTCCAGCAGAGCAGAGGGGGCGGCGGCAGCGCTCCCTGCTGCAGGCTGCAGGCCCCTCCAGCCCGGGCTGCCCCCACCCCAGCGCCACTCGTTACATGCAGCTCACGCCCCACCGAGGCCGCAGTTAAGTTTGGAAGGGCTGAATATTTCAATATTTCAGGTGTTTCAAAAAATTCTGAGATAGGAACTTGAGTCCCATGTAGTGAAGGAAAAAACCTTCCTGTGAGGAGAGAACAGATCATGACTTCATGGAGGGGAAGGCCGTTCATCTCGTGTTATTTCCGTGCTTTGCTAGCACGTTCCTCAGGTGACACGAGGAGAGGCTTACTTACGTTGCTTCATTGTAATCAAACCGCCGACGCACACTGTTTTTACTTTTAAATGCCAGCCTTTGTGCCAAGCCCTTCACGTGCGGATCTGACCTAATAGTTACAAGAACTTGATGGGGTAGGGATGATAATTATCCCCATTTGACTGAGGAAGAAACAGGTTTAGAGGTGGCCTGTGTGACTTGCCCAACACACAGGGCCTTCTGGGAGCACCGGAACAGCATTGCTGCATAGCGGCTATAAGGAGGACAAAATCTCAGTCCAGAGAAGCTATCAGAATGAAAACTGTCTTCATCACCAAGGAAATAGGTGCAATTAAATTAGCTTAAAGGAAAATATCATTACAATGAAAATTATAGTATCACACAAGGCTTTTACGGCTTAGCCGGTGGCAGATTTCAACCAGTACTGGTTTTAACAATGTCCCAGTAAAAAAGAGAATGCGGGCAGCCTCTGAGTGACCATTCTATGGACAACTCATACTTTTTTTTCTAAATCCCAGGGGAATTGGGGGGGGGTGGGAGTTGCCCAATAGCTACCTGTAATAAACAGCAAATACGTATTTTTTGTTCTTCTATAAGTGACTTCAACTCTGATGTTTACAAGAAAAAGAATATTAAAATCACTTGTATTTCACTTTACATACCCAAGTAGACTAATGACAAATGACTTTTCTTACAAGAGATGTGCCTTCCCGTCAATCTAGCCCTTGGAAATAGCAACATCCTGACTCTTCAGGTTAAGAACAAACACAAGTCGAAATAAAATGACCATTAGTGTGAATGACTGGTCTCTCTCATGCCCTCTGGGATAAATCTCTTTTTCCTCTTTTCATTGTTGACCAGGAGAAGAAGTACCGCTTCCAAAACCAAGTAGACAAGATGAAGGAAAAGGTCAAGAATGTAGAGGAAAGATCAAAGGAATTTGTCAACAGAGTGGAAGAAAAGAGTCATGATCTAATTCAGAAGTGGGAAGAGAAGTCAAGGGAATTCATTGGCAACTTCCTAGAGCTGTTTGGGCCTGACGGCGCATGGGTATGTAATTACTTCACTTGGCCCTGCGGTGACGGGCATTTTTGGTTTATCTTCATCTTCAGGGATCTACTCAAGGGTGTCCCTTATCTCAGTCCAATATGCGCATCTGCTCGAGTAGCTTCAAGTGTGTGTCATTTATTTAGTTTTGGCTTTATCCCTCAATGTGGCACCACTAGCACCCAAAGCCAGTTCTGGTCTCTGTTTCTATTTCTTGTCCAGACCTTGAAGCCATTCGGTAATTGTTGAAGGTCTGTTACTACAGAGGTTGGTTCTGTAGCTCACTGTAGTCTTTCAGCTGGACATGAGGCAAATCTGGGGGATGAGATTCAAGTGGGTCAGTGGTGTCATGGCATTTGTGTTGTGAGATAAGCTAATGGGCTCTTGGATCCACGAAGGGAGAAGGGGGCAAAAGAAACCCAGCTGTGTTGGTCAGCTTTTTTTGTCAGGAAACAACTTCTTCCATTGCATGTGAGAGAGAGAGAAGAGGCATGATTTTGCCCTGCATCTATGCCTGTCATGCCCTCAATTACCTGTTTTCCATGGCATAAATGTGTTGGGATAAAGTATACAAGTCTTAGGGGACTGAGACCATGATCTAAGTCTTAGAGAAAGTACAGAGGGTCTCATCTAAATTCTACAAACAATTCTGAGTGGAAGCTATGGAAAGAGAAAATTCTGGAAACCACCCTGTACTCCACTGGTATTTCTACTGTGCATGTACTTAAAGAGTAAAGAACCAGTATTGTCAGCAGCACTGAGGGTCTATGAAAGAGATCTTTTAAAGCTAGCCTTCCTTTTTAAAACCAAACGAAATGATGCCATTTGATTTCCTTGTTTTTAAGTAGCCTAGACTTCCTATTATGACATGAGAAGTCTCTAACAAAATCCACTTTGGCTTAATTATTTTATTGATGGGTTGTCACTGCTGCCTCTGCTCATTTGAGCTGGTTCATTATAGGATTATCTAAAAGTAAAACACTCAATTAGTAATAGAAAAAGAACAATGTTTGAGAAGTTGGAAGAGATGCTTTGCTTCAAGTCTAGTGGCCTCTAAATGATTATAGAGGTGGATGTTATAGGCTAATCAGGTCCTATTGCCTGAGTCTGAGAGGTGTAGAGGGTTTGCAAGCTGCTGCTCGAGCTTTCAATGACTTCTAGAAAGAGCTAGTGATACTGGAGGAGCCAAGGGCTGGGTTCCTTTTCACTCTCCATGGGCCTGTTCAAGTTCTTGGCTCAAATCAGTTTAATTCATGGGCCATTTAGTCATGTGCTTATATATGCACGGTGCTAGCAAGAACATGCAGACAAGGTGCAGAACCTAGTCTCTGGGATTCCATGACATCTATAACAAAGTGTAGAATTTCCCGTTAGTTTAAGGTGTACTTTAATAGTTCACATTTTCACAACCTATGTTCAGGGGATGGACAAACAGCTAGTGGTTTTTTAAATGGAACCATGTGGGTATTCACTTCCTTATAGGAATTCAGAAATGTGTCTCTGCGGAGAAATATGTCTCTGGTGTTGTAACTAGAGAGGATGGATGCTTTCTCCACTTGGAGCGAGCATAGGCAGGGAAGGAATAGAATTTCATAGTAACGTTATAGATTTTAGTTGTTTCAGGCTCCCAGTGAAGGTGAAATAGTAGCTGGAATTGTTCTAGAGGAGTCTGGTGACAGCTAGCTGCAGTGATTTTTAAGAAATGAAACCCAGCTTCGAGTCTGGAGGTTTTTCTTTTTAAAACTTGCTATTAGTGTCAAAACTGTTATTAACATTAATTTACCATATCAGCCAGACTTAGACATTGCTTTTTTTCTGTTGACATTAAAAGTACAGGAATAGTTACAAGGATGTTAAACGCCAAGATAAGTAATTTGCTTTTCATGAATATGCTATTATTATAATAATTCTTTATTTGTGGATTTGGGACTAGAACTCATTTCTTAAAATAGAGGATCTGCATTACCTGCAAATACAGTACTGTTACAAATAACCCCAACTTGGAGAAGTACAAAATAGAAGGATTTAAAGTACAGAACTTGGTATGACAGAACTGGTATGCGGCTCTGTACATAGCTTTTTATAGTAGGTATTCCATAAATGTGTCTGGATTGAATAGATGCATGGGTGCTTGACAGAGACCTATTCCCAGAACCTTCTGGCATCTGCAATGATGAGATTTAATCCTCTGTATTTAGATCTATACAGAGATCACTCTCATATATACGGGTTGCTAGAGATATATACCCTTAGCCTTTTATTGTTTTGGTGCTTGGTACAGGAGTTGGTACAACGTGGGGTTTAGATCAAATTCAGTTGGCGGAAGGGGTTTGCTGGGCCTTCATTTCCTTCCGGAAAAGCATGACCTCTAGTTAGCCATGTGCACACCACTACCCACTGTTGCTCCCTGCCACCTCCTCCAACCTGACCTTTCTGCTGCCCACCTGGATGTGGCAGTATTTGTGTTTGCTCCGTTCAGGAGAGTCTTAGCTTCTCCCTGAGGGACCTGATGCTTGATATGAAGAACTATGATCAAAAATCCACATCCTTCCATTCCAGCAGAGTGTGAAGTGGTGGTGAGGACCATGTTGTTACAGTTTAGAAGTTGTATAGCAGCTTAAACCTTTTTTAAGGCCTTTTAATATCTACTCTACCCATTTTAACCACACAATAGAAGGAGTGTTGTAGCTTTGTTCTAGATAAAGTAACAAAGGCCTAGGAAAACTGATGCTTTTCTATGGTCTCCCAGGTGTTTGGAGGTACTGGGATGGAGCCTGGGGCCAAGCCTCTTTTTCCTGACCAGCACTGTATCATCCCCCATAGAACTGTCCCCCAGAGGCAGTCACTTTCCTTCCCCCTCCCGCCTTGGGTTAGGGTATGGCATCTGGAGAAACACATGTGCCAAAAGTGCTCTAAGGCTCTGTGACAAAGCCCGTTGCCACAATGCCACTTCGGGCCAGCTCGGCTAGATTCAGGAGAGGTAGTGTCAGCCTTCCTCTTAAGCAAGCAGAAATCTTGGTGTCCCTGGTGATATTATCTCTTGGTAACAAATTACCCCCAAATTAGTGACTTAAAAACAACAAATATTATTTCACCCAGTTTCTGCAAGTCAGGGAGCAGCTTAGCTGGGTGGTTATCATTCAGGGTCTGCCATGATGTTGCAGTCGAGAGGCCAGCTGGGGCTGGAAGATCCTCTTCCGCATCTTGTGACCCGGAACAAGGTACCTCAGTTTCTCCCCATGTGGACCTTTGCACAGGCTGTTCAAGTGTCTTCATGACAGAGAAGCTGGCTTCCCCTTGAATGAGTGATAGAGTATTCAAGAGAAAACCTAGTCTTTTAAGACTAATCTCTGAAGTGACAATCACTTTATGCCATATTGCAGTGGTCACACAGACAATCGGGGTACATTATGGGAGGATACCACACAAGGATGTGGGACCTTGGGGGGCCATCATTGCTATGATAGAGGATGTATTCCCATTTATTCAGTCCGATGGGAGGATTATCAGAGCTCAAAAGGTTGTTTTTCAATCTTCCCATGTACAGCTCTTTAACTACTTGATCCATTTTTTCTTTGCTTGATTCTTATAACTAGTCTTGACTCACACTCAGAAGACAGTGGCCAAGGGACCCCTTCCCCACAGAGACTTGGTATTACCTCTGTCTCTCAGAGACATACCCTCCAGACTATCCTCAAAGGAGCTGAATTCTGAAGCTTTGTTGCCATGTTGGAGGCAATGCTATTCTTTTCCAAGGGATTCAGGTTCATGGAGCCAGGATCAGCGGATGCTGAATCAGCTTTTGGGGTAGGGCCTTTCTAGTGAAACTTGATTTTTTTTTTTAAAGTGTCAGACACATTCCATTTAAACACTGTGCCTTAGCTACATAGGCTACATTTTAAAAACATTTAGTATCATTTTGAATGATCTGCCACCATAGTCCTTAATTGACTTTGAACCATGGACTCACTTCCTGTTTGAAATGAAAATGCATCTATTCTGTTTTATAACATGAACATAGACCTTTTCCTGGAGCACCAAGAGAGAATAACCTTAGGTCAGGTCCAAGTTTTTAGTTCATCCTGGACCACAAACACCCTTGGCCCCAATGCAATCAGTCAGGTGGATCCATATATGAACCAAACAGGCATTTGCATCTAATATAAGAGATATTTTTTTAAAAACCTTGATGATGTGTTAGTTTTTCAGAAAGAACAAATTTACATGATGTGCACTCCTGATTTTTTCAAACTGTGATAAAATGTACCTAACAAAATTAGCATTTTAACCATTTTTACCATTCAGTGGCGTTAAACATTCATAGCTGTGCAACCAACACCATTTCCAGAACTTTTGCATCCTCCCGTATTGCAACTCTGTACTTATCATATAATCTGTCTTCACCCCACCCAATCCCTGGGAATCCCCCCTCTTAATGTCTCTATGAGCTTGACTAGTCTAGTGGGGTCATACAGTGTTTGTCCTTGTATCTGGCTAATTTCATTTAACATAATGTCTTCAAGGTTGAACCAATGTTGAGCATGTGTCAGAATTTCCTTCCTCTTGAAAGCTAAATAATTTCCCTTTGTGAAAGAACTTTATTTGCTTATGTTAAATCATTGGCCTGAGAGGCAGGAATCTAAATTAACACACAGCTTAGGAGCCTGCTTGGGTTAGTCTCGAGGGACAGGGGCTGGTAGATGCCATCTTTGAGTTTCCCTTTACCTCACTCCAGCTTACTGGCATGTCCCAGAAAGGACCTTGTATCCTCCTTTGGTACCCCCATCTTGTAGCCACCGAGGGGACACCTCGAGAACTCTTGGATCTGGTGGCCAGTGCAACTTGCACTCCAGAGTCCCAGAATACTAACTGAGCAACCATCTACCACCCCCAGGGCCATAGCAAGAGGTTAGAGACCCCTGCTTCTGTTAAATAAACCTTTTAGCTTATCTTCATAGCTGTGGCCAGAGTGGCAGGCTTCTAATTAAACATCCATCTAAGGG